CCACCCACCCCCGTCGGGGTCTTTAGCCCCTCCGTCGGGCAGGTCCTGGCGCCATCACTGAATCTAATAAGTGTATGGTATGCCTGAGATAGTTGTAGTCCGACTAGTTAGCCTCAAGATAAAGGGTAATTTCACAAAAGTTACTTTTACATATTCTCCTACAAGGTACATTTGGAAATTATTGCAGGTTTACGCATGATGTTGAAGTCATTAAAATCCGAAACAACGTTAACGGAACTTTACTTGACCGTGGAAATCCATTATTCGTTCACTTGTAATTGGCCGTTAAAATATTTAATCATGTGACCTGCCACAGCGAAAGATAGATTGATTTGTTAATTGCAATTGCGTGGACTTTGACAAACTGGATTCTCACCACGTGCGTAACATCTTCAACGGATTCAATGCTTTTTGCGATTGACAAGTGTTGGAAGATACGTATAACTGACATGTTTATTATAAGTCGGCTGAATCATGGTGTCATATGTAGGTCATACGAATGTAGGGTGAAAACGCTACCAGATGACTTGGGGCTCGACTTCCTGTTCCAGAATCCTAAGTCCAATTCCATCAGGTTTCAGATCGTCATGGATGCACGACCATAAGTATACCAAAGAGATATGTTGTAGTACATCTGAACTTATTAATGTCATTATGTATTAGTAATTTGACTCGAGATTTATATTTGGTTTCCAAACCTGGAAGCTCTTGCTGACCTTATAATACCTTAGGTTAATATTTAACACAAATATGACTAAAATTGAGACATGATCTCTGTTTATAAAGAAAACAATCTATACAATCTTGAGTTTCATTAAACGCAGTTTCAAAATTAAATACTGAAGACCTACAAGTCAGTTTGCCTCAAAAACTGAATAGAGCTTCTCCATTAAATATGATAACTAGGGTCTTTTTGAAACAAATTTATCAGAAATCTTGAGGATACCATTTGCCAACAGATTAATTCAGATTTGTTCTTAGATTCACATAACAATAATCATTCTATGATTGAAACTGACGACAGAAATAAATTTCTTAAAAAGAAAAGTGAAATAGACACTCATTTTATTGCATCTATTACGACATTTTGAAGTTCTACTCTTACCTAAGATATTAGGAAAACATTAATGTTCTTTGGATACAATTACAACAGCGTTTGAAATGGCCTTCTTATGAGCGACGTACTGCACTACTATACGGTTAGTTCACAGTTAGAAAACATTAGGATTTCGTGTTTTAGACTTCATTATTTCCATCAGTGAGTAGTTGTAATGCACGTAAAAAAATATACATGAATTGTATAATACCAATAGGTAGTTCATAATGTTTAAACAGACGAATATGTTTAAAAGTATATATTAGGTTTGATTAATTCCGGTCAGATGAACTATTCTTTATTTTTCTCTTTCGTGATGAAACCATCACCTTTACTTCATATGAAAATTTCCTATAGGCCTACATTCAAAAAAGATATAAATTTAATACGAAGTGTTTATTTGAAAATAAAAATTCCGGCTTTCGTTTCATTTTCGTTCGTGTTTAAATATATATACATATATATATATATATATATATATATATATATACATATATATATATATATATTATATAATTAATTTATTTACTATTATTATTATTATTATTATTATTATTATTATTTTGATGAACTATTCCTTATGATAATTATAGGTATTCAAATTGATTTATGTAAAAATACCTTATTGAAGTAAATTGATTGAGAAGCTAAATTTAAAAATAACCAATAACAATGGCATTCATGCCGTACTGTATCTTTTGCCGGCGGAAGAACAAATTAAGGTAAAATCAATCGCTATGTCGAGCTGCTAATTCGTTACGCACCATTCTTGATTGATAGTAGTAAACATACGGTATACGGGTATTCATAGAAGCATTGGTACGGATGTTGCAAATATTGTCTTTGGGGTGGTGAAAGCAGTCACCCTATAGAGCGGATACCTCCGAGCCTGTATATCGAACAATACGTAGCCCGTGCATGGGCGATTCCACTATTTTATTCATTATTATTTATTTCGTCTTTTATATATTCCATTTATTCCATATTATTTGATATTTGAGGGTAAGTTCATGGAGGAAAAATGGTATTTCAGTGACCTTGACCTTGTCCATTGACCTTATTTTTCCAAAAGTCAATCACTTCTTTCTATGATATAATATTATTACCATTCCGCTATAGATTTTATGATGATCAATCTCTTAGTTTTTGCGTAATTTGCTAACAGAGAGAGAGAGAGACAAGGAAGACATGGGTGACTACATTAAAGCCGAAGAATGTTCTTTAGCCCAGTAGGTCTATCTCGACTATTTATTTCATGACATCTCGACGTCTTCTTGGTAGGTATAGAACTTGATCAACCCTCCTCTAAACTCTGTCAATCTAGGAGTTTTAGGGTTTATAATCGATTCCAGAATGTCAAAAATCATTGCGAGTTACATTTTCAATGCCTATTTGTTGAATCAACGGCATGTTCCTAAATGATTACTGCAGTGATTTATATTATCAAAATATACGGTTACTTCTCATTTGACCATTTTATTACATTACCGTACATACGACTCCATCGCACAAATCGACCTCTTATATTAAAGTTCATACTCACTCGTATAATTACTGGTAATGCTAGACATCTTCTAGAGGTTTGTGGCATTTTATTTTTATTCATTTGGCATTTATCACCTAAAATGTGTTTCATACCGTTGAATATAGTCACAGGGCCTATCTTAATCAATTATACTGTTATGTAAGTGAATCAAGATAAATAGATATCACAGTCTTGAAGATTTAAAAAAGAGCAGCCACATAAATCTATGTAAGATTATATTTGGTGAAATTGATTTAAAAGAAAAAGTTATGAGTTGGCAGGGATTCTTTGACCACGATTGCGAAAATTCAGCACATTGTAACTAGATCTACTACATAAATATTTTATCGTATATCACAGGCCTATCAGTAATGAATTACATGGGAGAAATAACTGTAGCACCAATGTATATGTATATATATAGTAA